GAAAACCTGACTATCATGCATTTAAGGCGACAAAAGAATCGATAACCGTTAACTCGAACGGTTTTTGTCAAATTCCTTCCTATATCTGTTAATGGTTTTTTAATTCATTGTTTCTTATTCGCAAGCAAAACTGCGCCGTATTTTCTTTGCGTGCGCTTCGCTTTAGCATCAAACATGGAAAAAGAGGCGTATGGCTGCAAGAAACATGAAACTTATGACGCTTTGAAGGCTTGCTATGAGAAAGCTGCTTCAGAGTACGATGAGGTTAAAGAAATCAGACAATATTATTTTCAATCGGCTGCTGCCCTGATTCTCAGACATTCATTTGGCGATAAAGGCGAATTTATTCCAATCTTTATAATTACTACGATGTAACGCTCTGATAGCTAGCTATGAGAAAGCTGCTTCAGAGTACGATGAGGTTAAATAAATCAGACAATATTGTTTCCAGTCCGATGCTTCCCTGATCCTCAGACGTTCATTTCGCGATAAAGACGAATTTGCTCCAAACCTCACTAATGTTGTGCAGTTTTAAGCCTTTAGTTTTATACTTGCATGCACACAATTCAAATCGTGCGTTTAGCAACTCCACTAGCCTTTGAAGAAGCACTAAAACTAAATGATTTAGCTTCAGTGCTTCTGTTTATCTGTGCTTGCACGATGCTTATGACGCTTTGATGGCTTGCTATGAGAAAGCTGCTTCAGAGTACGATGAGGTAAACGAAATCAGACAATATTATTTCCAGTCGGCTGCTTCCCTGATTCTTAGACGTTCATTTCGCGATAGAGATGAATTTGCTCCAACCCTTATTACTACTTATGTTGTGCAGTTTTTAGCCTTTAGTTCTATACTTGCATGCGCTCAATGCATATAGTGCGTTTAACAACTCCGCTAGCGTTTGATTTAGCTTTAGTGCTTCTGTTTATTTGTGCATGCGCTTGATTTTTTAAAAAATAATTTCCTTAAATATATTCCAGGGAATAGAAAAAAGACTTATTTCTGAGTCATAGCCGTTTTGGACATTAAAAAAATGTATATATTGCTTGATTACTGGTGGTATTTCGTTATGATATAAAGAAGAAAACCTGACTATCATGCATTTAAGGCGACAGAAAAGAATCGATAACGGTTACCTCGAACGATTTCTGTCAAAATCATTAATTAATAGTGTTTTTGAAGTGAAGGTCATGATAACATACAAAGACAACGTGAAAGCGAAGATAAGTCGCTTATTTTCAGCCCGCCGTTTTATAAAAGGAGCGTGGTTGTTGGAAAGTGTTGAGTTCAAATCCATACCTTTCATCAACGAAACTCGTCTTTTACCTCTTTCTCTTCGGCCGGTTGTTGGTCGTCACCTCAACAGGCGCTTGAAGGGATTTTCGTTTCTTACTTTTCACCTCGACTGTTAAGTTGGGTGGAGTGCGGGGAGGTGAGGATGAAGCGGAGCAGATCTGATCAAGTGTCTAAACCATATGCCTCTGTCCCCGCGTGACAGCCCTGGGTGGCCTATAATTGTAACTTTACGTAATGCTCTCTCCTTTTTAATTTCTTTTTCTTGGTGTAACAAAGAATTGGTCCATGCTTAGTGTGCGTATATCGAGTTAAGGATGAGCGCAGGACGAGAGAAGAGTAAGAGTTGCAATTTCTGACGTTTGAGTGACATGAGAACGAATTAGTCAGAAATTAATATTCTGACGCACGTTGAAGAGGTTCGCATGGCAACACGGTAGTTTCGGATTATTTAAGCGCTTCGCGGGGAAAATTAAGTCATTCTACGTCGGTCACTCTTAGGTTTGATCACTTTCTTTTTTCTTTATTTTTTTTTTATTTAATGTAATTTGTTTTACACCTCTCTGTGAAATTTTCTGTGTGACTAGTAGTGTAACTAGGTTTATTTTAGTTACCCTTTCCTCGGGGTATAATGCTGCTGCATTAGATGAGGAATACGTTTCCACATATTTTTTGGCCATTTCTAAAGAGTGGTTTTTTAGTGGTCTTTCGTATCTGGCGTAGCACAACTATTTTTTTCTAACCCTTCAGTTTCAGTGAATGCTTGCAGTACATTGCAGATTGTAGTAGGATGTGTAGACTACATGACTGGCTGACTCATCCTACATAAACTTTCACATTGAATATCTCGCCTGAGTGTAGTCAGAATCTGTAGTCTCTTGAGTCTGAAAGGCCCATCTCAATCGGGACAAAGTGGGAGAAGATCTCAAAAGTTTTGAAACCTTGCGGCTAAACTCAACGAGAACTTGCAGCCGAAGTGATAAATGCATGGCCGTGCAATACATAAAGATTTTTACGATGGTTGCTCCTAAGAAATAGGTAGGCTTTGCGTGCGCACTATGTCATTAGATGTACTGTCACCAGATATCTTTTAGTATATACCACACAGGTAAAAAGTGATTGGCCAAGTATTATACACCTCTGAGCAGCGGAAGAGCGTCAAGAGATTAATTTCCGACCATTGTTCGGTATATTGGCAGATAATTTTTTTTTTTTTACACGTGGTATATGCTAAAACAAGTATTAACCTCCTCGGTGAAAGTGGTGGGTATTTGCCTTGTCACATCGCGGTACGGTAAATATCCACCTCCATCCACCCCACCTCGAAGCGTAATTGTTGAATATTACTTTTTGAATGCACAGGATGTTAAAGTTCACAGAGGGTACATCGGACACGAAACCGCGACAGAAAGGTTGGTAACAACTCTAAAACAGCTTGAGTTTCCGGAAGATTGCAGAATCCTTGACGTTGGTGCGGGGACCGGGCTGGTCGGAGTGGAGCTTTGTAAAAGGCAGTTTACCAACGTGGATGCCTTAGATGCGTCAGACGCCCTTCTCAAAGAAGCCGAAAAGAAAGGAATCTACAAGAATTTCTTTGTTGATGTCCTGGGTCCTAGTCAACGGATACAGTTGGACGACGACTGCTATGACGTCGCTTTTGCCGTTGGCGTGTTTACTCTAAACCACGTGAAGGCGGAAGGCGCCATGGATGAAATGGCACGAGTTGTCAGGCCAGGCGGATTGGTCAGCTTCACAATAAGAGAGGATGTGATGTTTGAACAAGAATATGGGTACGAAGCAAAAATGGATCAGCTGTGTCGGGAGAAAGTCTGGAAACTAGTGTCCAAGAGTGAGGAAGACTATCACAGCAAAACAGACATAAGGAAATGCTACTTTTACATTTATCAAGTTATGTAGGAGTTTACTCAGACTTAACGCGATTCAGCCAAGGGCAATAAGAGGTTTTGTTTTTTCAATTATTTGTTAAACTTTTCTTTAGAAGCCGGGCTTACAATAAAGCGGACATCAATAGGACGAAAACTTGTAGACGCTCGTGAAGTTTGCTATCCGATGGAGTCACTTTGAGTCTCCTGATATAAAAATCTTTGTCTAGGGTACTTCTAAAGGCGTCTTTTCCTTCAGGCGAGACGAGCAAGGACAGAGAATTTCCGTAGTGCCGGCTCAAACATGGCCGCCGTGTGACAAAATACTTTTTGTCTACAGTGCGTCACAGTAAGATACCCATTTTCCATAAATTGTCTTAGGTAAAACATATAACCACTGGGTAATAAGTTGAAGAATGAAATACTGAAAAATCGGCTTTTGAAAGGAATGTATTTTGATGTCATTGATTTCCCATCACTCTTTGTCGTTATTTTAACACATTTCCAAGCTACATTGTAGAAAAATGCTCTGCAGTAGTAAATGATACTGCTCCTCTATTTCTGGTTGTTTTTATTGGCTGTTGGTGATGAATCACATTTGTTTACTGTGTTTAGTAAATATGGTATTTATTGAGGAGAATCTCCTTGTTAATATATGTTGGGCATAAGGAGACTCCTTACCAGCCTCTATTTTCATCTCCCTTGGGGAGCTTCATAAAAGACACTGGGCATTTTGAGATTTCAGGAGGCGAAGCCTAAGAAAACGTCAAAACAATGGAACTGCATTTCTCTCGAGCATTTGTTTCTGTCTCTAGTAGCGTTTAAGTCCTTGCCTACTTTGGAAGGCAGTAATTCGAGTCTCACTATAGTTACATTCACTTGTTTTTAACAACGTCTTTGACTAATAAGGATAATCAAGTCTTTCCCTTTAAGGCAGCTTCGGAGTTCATACTTTACCCGGTTTCTAGATTTTCGGCGTCGGAGGCTAGTTTCGCACGTCATTCGCATGCCGGTGGCAAATGACGGCTATTGACCCATCAGTCCTCTCAATGTCGATACGATATAGTTACCTATGTTTATCCTTCATCCTTTTAATAATTGTTTGTTTTTTCGATCCCTTAAATCTCATACGACCCTCATATTAGAAATTCATAGCTTTGTCCTTGACTGATGGTTTCATTTGACCTAAACCCAAGGTGTTGATCTCTTTCCTGCAAGTCGCTCTTATTTCATTGCATTACTTATCTTGGATTGCTCATCGGGTCTTCCTCCATATTCTCTTTTGAATTAAATCGCTACTTCCTCCACCCAAATACAGTAGCCTCTCTCTTTAATTTCTCTCGTCCATGGATTGTAATCGTGCTGCGATTGTCATCGCCTCGTTTAACATTCGCTGGTTCCTTACTCATCAATCATATTTTGATGACGAAGTTTCTCCCTTAACTCAGATACTAGCATCTTCTCTCTGTAAATTCTCTCGTTGGACTCTTCAGTGGTCATGTTCGAATATCTAAAAGACTGTTGTCTCGATGGCGGCATCCTTCCCTTGGGAAGGGAAAACATCTCTGGACTTAAATGCTCCTTACTGTTACTGCGTTTGGGTGAAAGACATGGTGAGTTGAGCTGAGGAAGGGGATGAGTGTTGTTTATACTGTTCACCGATTCTATAATTTTAACCTCCATTGCACGGGGAATTCTCATATTATCCACGAATGACGGCGAGAACATGGCTCTAGAGTTGGTTTCACTGTCATGCAGTTGTTCGATGAATGCTCTGGGATATACATCCACTGGGTGTCTCAAATTTTGGTGCTTTGCATGTGGTCTGAAATTACAAAATGAGACTTAAAATTAGGAAAAAAACGAAGCAGCTACTTCACGCTGTCTTTTTCTTTTTTTAACTACAGTGTACTTAAAGTTGTATAAGTTATATGAGCCATTACATGCTCTCTCTCCGCCTCTTCCTCCTGTCAAGTAGGTTAACAGGTATTAATTTGGAAAATTATCTTTAATTTAATAGCCAGACTCCGTTTTAAATATCACAGGTTTTTTTAAACAAAGAAATTAATGTTACATGCAATATCTTTTTAAATCTTATAACAGATCCGAAAGCTTTAGAAAAGAGAAAAAAGATTCTAATTTGATAGCCTTCCCTTTTAATAATTGTGTTTTGATGGTGCCGTTTTGTATGAAATTAATTCTAAAAAGAATTCGAAAACGAAATTGGAACCATTTATCAATGGTGCAACGCTCAACATGTGATTTTGGAAAAACGTTTTTGTGATTTTCCCACATTTGATCAAATCTTTAGTACATACAGGTTGCCTTGATCTTCATACCTTTTATTTTTACGCTTCTTCCGAGTTTGGCAGCAAACAAAGTAGCTATAGTAAATACCCACTATGATCATAGTAACTGCGAGGAAACCAGCCACACACCATACAACTACCATCCAAAAGGGAATTTCTTTCTCTAAAAAGAATAAAACATCAATTTGAAAAAGAAATGATTTGTGTCCTAAACTTCAAAGTTATAGCGGTTGTTCAGCAGGGTATAGTCGGAACGGTTTTGAAAACGGCTGAAATCAAAGATAAAGATTACGCAGCAGTATATGTTGGAAGCTCTCTAGTAGTGCAAGGATTGCTGTTTTGGTGTTTATAAAAAACTTACAAAAAAACATAACCAAGAAAATATGTAACAGGATTTCATATGCATTCAGGGTAACGAAAGTGGCGTGTTTTTGAAGGAGTGAATAGAGAATAATTTTTTAGGTTCTTTTAGCGAACTTTCTGAAAAAACGCCATTATAAGTAAAACTGCATTCATATGTAGACTGATAGTTAAATCTGATACCTTTATAAGAATGCTCTATTTCAATGAAAGATATTAGCAAATAGATTGTGAACTCGATATTTCTATCGCGTGGTAGTTGGCAAAATGAACTATCACGCATAGCAGATTGTCAAATTGTCTAAGCGTTGTACACATACTAGTATTTTACAACGTAACAAAAGACAGTCTCTTCTATTTCTCTTATTTGATTTATAACCACACACTGTTGGACAATTCGCTTTACCAACTGCCTCTTACGGAATAGATAGCTAGCAGCGGAGCCAATCAGACTGTGTTTCCAAATGTTTTAATAAGATGATAAAGCCCTCTACTCATTATAGTATGAGGAAAGTGTTTCGAGTCAGTAAGATAATTAATTTTGTCACCTTGCACCGCCGTTGTCGGCAAAGAAGTAGTTTTATTGTCCATGCCAATCCTGGGGAGAGAGAAAAGTTATTAGATGCAAACAAGAGATCATACGCAAAAATGTTTGTTTCGTCTTATTGAGAGCATGGGACCAAGATAAAATTAAGAGTACACATGTGGAATCGAGCCTCCTACCCTTAGCCTGTCCTTGGCTTTCAGTGGTAAAATAGAGCGGAATGGGAAACTACGCGACAGAAGCAGCAGAGCGGATAAAGAGTGAGGCTTAGGTTGTGTCACGAAAAGGGAGGAGGCCTGGGTTACGCGATTAGACCCAAATTTCCCTCTTATACACAATCAGACCAAAGTCTCCCGCTGTTTTCGCTCTGCCGTTCACTAATCATACACCGAGTTAGTACAATTAAGTCAATCGGAAGTTTGGAAAGACACGGAAAGCTCAGATCAATAGAATCACGCTGATCAGTTCGCGTGCGAATAATTTTTCAACTTTGAGCGATGCCAGTGTGCGAGAAGTCTGGCACTGATAATTTGTGCCAGATTCCTCGTAGAGCTCTTGCAAGGTCGCTTCGCTCAAGGCGTCAAACCTGAAAGTACTCGCGGACTAAGAAACTCCCATTCGCAATGCTGATAATAAGGTCTAATCACAGGCAATCTGTACTTTTAAAAGTTAATAAAAAAAAAACCATGCCCAAGACCGCTTTTTAAGATTCTAAAGATTGGTCAAAACTTTTAAAAACTGTTATCAAATTTAATACTGAATTCGTCTATGGACGCCGCCATTTTGAAAACGACTTAGCAACCTGATCACGCACCCTGAACTACAACAGGCAGTGATTTAAGAAAAAACAGTGAATGGAGCAACGCAAAACTGATGCAGTCACGCACTACTCAGTGAAATTGCTCCGTACCAGCTGGATGAAAATGTGAAAAATAAGCTGACAACGGACAATTTTTCTGTCATATGTTATACTCTAGTATTGATGACGATTCTTTTCTATCCGGTCTACTGAGCTAAGTTTGGCAAGCTCGCCAAACCACCAGTTCTGGCGTAGTGTGTTTATCAATGAGTTTGATTTTTTTTCTCTTTTCTTCTATTCCTAATAATGAAAAAGCCTGCTGCGTGTTCGTCACTATTGTTATGGTATTATCTGTGTTTGCTTTTTCAGTAATTCTATGTTTGCAGAGAACAAATTCAATCTTTATCTTCTAATACGCTTAAAGTCATATGTACTCCTGAATTGGTCACAATATTGACATTTACAATACCCTACTTTCCTGAGAAATCTGGTTATAGAATCGAATATGGATCAAAGAGGCCTAAAATGAAGGTGAATATTTGTTACAAATCGTTCAGAGCGGTAAGAAATGTGTATTTCTCATAATGCGAGTAACCAAGATATCTTACTTTTCAGTTCGTTCTGTATCCATCTATTTAGAGAGAAAATGATTGAACGCTTGAGAAGGTTGAATAAAAGATGTTACTCAAAATCTTTAGCTAGACGCAAGAGAGTAGAAAACACGTTCTGAAGACAAATGAGTTGGTTAGATCCAGAAAATATTTCGCCGTTCATTCGTGAAAATTTATGAACTTCGCTACGTGCAGATCTACATTTAATGTTAGTTTTTGGAGGATAAAGATTAAATCTCGACGATACATGACTCAAAGAGGAGGAGATACCTCTATAATAGTTAAAATGAATGCGATATTTCTATCAGGGTAAAATTCACTCCTTAGCGACGATATGTAAATTACGCCGAGAAAGTATGTTCCAAAAACCAGTTATTACAACTGAATATAGCGTGTGCCGGGAATTGCCCATTGTTGATTCTGCTCACAAGTTCCGCAGGCATGTTATTTTACCGATGATAGGATACATTTGACCGAGAAATTATCGCTAAATTTTACTGTAATCATTTGTTTTTCTCCAGGCTACATGCGGGTTTTGAATTTCCGCTTTCAAGATAGATTTGGATAATAAAAACATTGCCGCAGAGAGGAAATCATGGTTCGATCAGATATGAAAGGTCAGGAACGAATTTAAAACTTTCCTTTAAAATACATGTCGGTAGGGAGTGAAAAAATCACTATAAGCGGAAATTTTCCCTTTTTTGAAAACTAAGGGCAGAACACATGTAAGTTTTTACTTAAAATGCACTGTGATCGTGAATATCGGCGGAGCGAGCGAGTTTTCAGTGACGCTAAGTATTAATTAAAACAGTGTTGTAAAACAAATGCCGCAAACTTCGTTCATGGTTACAACTAAATGAATCGAAAGTAAGCTACAGACTCTGTTGTCGTAGTTTAGCACTACAAGCGTTTGGTTGCGTTTCGCATCGCGTCGGTCCGTTGTCTTTCAGCATCGAACACAGCTCAAAAATCGTTATTGCAGCGTCGTTCGGCGCTTCGCTTTCGCACCAATAACGTTGATATGTTGAACTCACAGCTCTTAAATTTTTCCTATATCAACGTCGATAAGCTACTTCTCTTTATTGTTATTTTTATGTCGTTCGTCTGATAATTCGTTTTTTCTGTCATATCCTTTATTCTCTCAAGTCTCGTACAATATTTACGTTCGTAAAATTTTTCTCTCCTAAAAACAATGCTTTAACATCTAAAATCGTTTTAGGTATAACATCAACTCCACCAACCTTCACTTTCAGAAATCACAACATGATGAGGTTCGCCAGTACGCCTAATCTCCAAAGAACAGCGAGCGGAGGAGTCTTTTAGCTAACGATAATAGACACACTCTTTGAATAAAATAGCCACGAGCAGAGTTTCCTCATTGACAACTCCAGGTGTAAGCGCCACATGCAGCAAAACACTGTTTGCTAGATCTCAACCTATCCTGGCTGTCTTTAACAAATGTAAATGAAATGCTCTTCCTTATGATTCTTCTCCGTCAATAGAGAAAAAAGAAATTTCTCTTTTCTCTGATGCGGACGTATCACTGCCAGCCTGAATGAGTGGACATCTGAATCGTTCAGGAACGTATTATTATCTGTTGTTTTTCAGCGGCGGTCAATGATGTTTGTCACATATTTGTTTTCGTGCCAAGACATTTGAGAGTTCGATAATCGAATAAATTCGAGGAAAAGGGGTAAATAACCAATTAATATTCCTCCTGTTTGAAAAAGAAACGGATTCAGGTGCTAACAAAAAACATCAAGCGGATGTGAGGAGTTCTCGAAAGCTCTGGGCTCCAATGTAACGTTCTGAATTGTCAATGGCCATTCGATTTTTTTTTTCAAAGAAAGTTTTGTTTTCAATTCACGCTCAAACTATTGTGTACGTTCTTTAAAAACCAAGAAAGCATAAGAATGACTGCAGGTGATTTGACCAAATATGGAAACTGCCACAGGTTAAAAACATACCCGAGGCTTTCAAAACAAAGATACGCCATATTCATGCACGCTTCGATCCTGTTTAATCCATTTATTCTGGAACTTTGCTTGTAGCCCATTTCAGAGGAACAAACGTAAAGGCTACCCTTGACTTATTATTGCAAGAATAATAATGATTATAATAACAATGAAAATTATCATTACTGTCAACATTATTTTTTAGTTGGCAGTTCTGTTCAAAATGTGAAATTTAAATTTCGCCTTCTACGACAAACTTCCCGCTCCAAACGCCATAAAACCGTACTAATTTACATCGCTTTGTAACTTGTTAATGAAACGTTTGGGAAGGATAATTATTTCGAAGCGTTTTAATATCATTTTAAATAAACCTTGTACGTCTCTAAAATAATCTCTAACACTGCGTCCAAAATGAAAGTTATGAAAGAGGCTGAAATGATCACAGCAACTGGAATACAGCAGAATTAAAATCAAAACTATTACCTCAAATTATTACACTAAAGTGAAGGAGTGCACAAGCTGTGAGAGAGAGGGATTATTCATTATTATTCTTCAATGTCGATTTAATGGTTGATCAGTAGAAAAGCGGCGCGGGCGAAAGCAGAGTTTCCGTTTTTGCTGTAAACGTCGAGCGTAAATAGAAGTTCGCTTCACAATTGCCGTCTAAATAGCGGCGCACTTTTTTTCCGATTTTATTTGTCTACTTTTGCGTTTAAATGCAAAGACTCGTAATCCTGCGAAATCAATTTATGTTTTTAAACATTTCCTTTTTTAAATTTATGTCATATATCTAATAATTTATTCATGACTACCTCTTATTATATTTTCCTTTGACACATAACAATGACTTGACGAGATCAGTAATTCCAACAGGAATGGATAGAGTGCCAGTGATACAAATAAACGCTGTTGCCATATGAAATTGGAACGCTGAGTGCGGAATGGGGAGATCAGGCTGTAATGATTTTTCAGCCGACAAGAGGTTTAAGTGTTCACGAACCAGAGAAGTTTTCGAAGTCGTTTTTAAATTTGAATCGGGAACCCTTCTTTGAATAATGGATAAATTTTGAAAAAAATTGGTGCAGCGGCAAATGGGACATGGCAGACTTAAAATCAAAATTATTACCTTCCACTTCCGGCCATTACTACACTAAAATAAAGGGTATGCAAGCGCAGGCTGTAGTAAGAGATTATTTACAAATTTTCTCCAAGTCGATTTAGTGAGTAATAAATAGAAAAGCGGGCGAGCGCAGAGCAATCGTTTGTCAGTCATAACAAAGATTCACGAAATGAAAGTACAGTTGAGGGGAAATCTTCAACAAATGAAAATTGTGCTTTGTAGTTCAGTTAAAAAAAAAATCAACTCTTATCGGCCAATGAAATTCGTTCAGGTACACGAAGGTTGACAATGACAATTCATTCAATGCATTATATTTGTCAAACTGCCGCTTAGTGTTTTTATGGTTTGAAATAAGGCTGAAACCACTCACTTCATCGCTTGTAATATTTTTCAAATACAGCAATCGCAACAATGACAATTACCAGTTTTGTCACCGATCGGTTGTAATAAGTAATAATCGCTACCGCAAATTGTCAATCGTAAGTGATAGTATCGACTTTTTTATTGATTCTATCATTGATTGCATCGACCCGATAAGGTGTAATCCCAAAATGTTTTTAAAATAAAAACCTAAAAAAATTGGGAATTTTATTTGATTTTATGAATCCTTATTGAAAAGCTTTTAAACATACACTTAGTATGCCTTATCACACTAGTTACCTTTCGGTTAAAGTGAAAAAAGCATGGAACTTACGAATTTTCGTCGAAGAATAAGCAATCAAAAGTTCAATTGTCTTGAGTATTTAAAACTTATTAATGATAGTGGAATAATAAATCCCCCGTTCACCGGTTTAACTTACAATTCGAGCGTACTCGAACGTACCCTCGCCAAATTATTTTTGCAAATATAAAATTATTTTTTGATTGTCCCCTTTCGGCCTCCGGGCCATAGACAGTTTTGTCTATATAATTTCCTGTTATATGATTGGTCTAGAAAAACACGAAAAAAACTTATATGGCCGAGTTTGGATTGAGACGATACTTTTTTCTTTCGAGGAGACCATGTTGTAATGCAAAGGAGATGGCAGAACAGAATTCAAAATGAAGAAAAACAGAATTTAAAGTTGATCTGATCAAAAATTACCATTGCCACATAGTAACTATCATTTTATCCCGTTGTGGAAGAGTTTCTTGGAAGAACAGACTTGTATTGTTTTACTATAAAGCACCCACGAATAGTGAATATTAAAAAGCACCCGAAAAATGCGCTAAAACCTACGTGTTCTATTTGTGTGGTCTCATTCGGCTTTAATTCTCAACGATTTTGAACGTTACTTACCAAATTAAGAATTCGTCGGTTTCAGTAGCACTGTGGAATGACATCATCGTCAATAGGTATGAATGGTGCCCAGCGGTTCACTTTGTTAAACTCTTTAGAGTCTCGCATATAATCCATGACTCAGTTGAGAGCTTCGATGACGCCCTTGCCCCTGACTAGTTCTGTGTAGAAATAGTTCAGTGTAGCCTCATCCTTAATAGCCTACAAAGACATCACCACAGATCGAGAACTGGCGCCCAAAAACGCCCGTGCAATGCCAACCATCCCCTCTGCCCTGATTGGGGGACAGCAGCTCAGCACAACCAGTCTTGCTCGCAGTTGAGCTTGTGACAAATCCGCTATTTTTAACAACAGTTAACCTCTTCAGGTGGTAAGATGAGTTGTCCTGTTCCCATTTCAACATGAGCTGCAATGTGCACCAAGGCAAATGTGGAGTTTCTTTGACACTTCAGTTTTCAGCAGATCAGCGATAAAAGCGATGAATAAATCAAAAACTTCCTCAAATGTGCAGCCGTAGGTTCACGCATACCTCGGTTGCTTTTCTGAATTGTTCCAAACCACATTACGCGCTTGTTGATGACGGCTCCATCTGCGTGATTGTCTCCGACTTCTTTTATAGGGCTTAGAGAAAGTTCACAGTACTCGACTACTTTTTTTAAATGTCCCTGGCGATGACAAGAACATCCGAGATTGTGAAGGGTCGCCGCTGCTCTACGTTTGTTTGAAATTTTTGGTGAACTTGTCAATGTAGTAGTCGATCAAGAATGATGTTTTATGTCTCGTCTCGAGCGTGGGATAAAAAAACACTCCGATGGTTTACGACGAAGTCTGCAGGCTTTCTACGGGAGCTAGCTACATACACGTTATTCTAAGGTTCACAATTTGCACTCGTGCTTTGTACTACTGCGATCAGCTTTGTCGAAAGGGTTTACCTAAGTACACATAGTAAAAAAGAAAGTAAATCTAACACCCAGAACTCCGAATCAGTAAACTCCCACTGTCAGCCGAAATATATCGGCACTTAAGGATCTGAAATAATTATAACGAATCATACTGACCTCTAGATCCCTAAGTTAAGTTGTGGTGGACACATCCGGGATTGTGTTACTTTCGTATCAATTTGCATAACCGTGCACTATGCGTGAGCTATATCAACAACATGAATCCTTCAAGTTGAGTCGAACAGCATTTTCCTGATCACTGATTTTTTCTCGACTTAGTCGATTCCAACCTACCTACAGTTATGTCTTTTGTCGAGTACTCTAATTTACTGTATCAGATTAGCGAAGAAATCGATTGGGAAACGAAACGCGGACGATTAATGTTTATCATCAACAGATCTCTTCCTGATGACTCCGGAGACGATATCACAGACGTTATTTCGTTGCTTACCAAGATGGAGGAAAAGAATCTTCTATGGATTGATCGTCTTGGTTTATTGAAGGATCTGTTAAAAGGAATAGAAAAATACGATCTTAAACGGAAAGTGGAAAAATTCGAAATCCAGAGAAAGGACTACAAACAGTTATTAGAGCAGATAGGTCGTGCACTCGACGAGTCCAATGAACTACAACAGCTCATTTCAATCTGCAGAAGACAAAATCTAATAACCCATGAAAGAGAAAGAGATGGAAACATCATAAATGTTAATGCATTGTTCACAGAACTAGAGCGACATAATAATTTGGGGATAGACATCCTGAAAACCATGATAAATGAGCTAAAGAAGCCAGATTTGTGCAGATTAATCGAGGATTTCGAGAGAAAACGAAAACAGGAAGAAGATGCCGAGAGGGACAAGAAAGAGTGGGAGGACTGCAAACGAAAAAGACGAGGTAAGAATCACTTTTTGACGAAACGCTTCTTTTCTGAAACATTTCTTAAGTTGTACAATCAGTCGTTTACTACTTACAATCGAAGGCAATCGATCGAATCTTCGGTCACTGCGCATTAAATTTCCAAACATTTCATTTCACTTTCAGTCCAACACAATTAAGCTGGACTGCGAAACGGCGAGGACTGTAAAATACTTCAGTGAACTGAAATCTAAATTTGAGTCTATTTTGCCTTAATGAAACGTGTAGTGTATCTCTAAGACACGTGCCTGAATTCTCAGCGGTCGCCAAGCGTGTTTCTCTCGGAAGCCTTCACCTCGAGATGTGATAATGGTTCGTCTGATAGCTAGTAGAGTCATATAGGTCGCAAACTTCTGATGTCAGCAATTGGTCCACAGAATAGCAGGATGGATTGAGCTGTCAGGACTTTGCTCATTAGACTATGCATAGGAAACTTCCAATAAATAGTCATTTGACGTACATCTTGAAACAAAACAAGCGTATACTACATGTAGTCATCATGGACACGTGCACTAATTTCATTCATTGCATTTAGTAGTGTCCTATTACACCACCAAAGAGTTCATG